ATATATATTTTAAATTTGAGACCCATTAGTTTATTTATTTTTATTTTTATTTTTACTTTATGGCTTGAATTCCTAGCTTATTTAAATATTCCGACTCAACACTTATTAAAAACTTCATTGTCAAATAATTCCTTTAAATATATTTTCAATCTAAATGATACTTTTAAAAAAATATATGTCATGACTAAAAAAATACCTATATTAAATAATAAATAGCAAGTTAATTTTAGACTTTATATTTAGAAAATGAATTCAGCCTATTCAAGTTAAAGCTCGCACGCCCTTACCAGTTTCCATGTCCAGACAAAATTAATATATTGTATTAGGAAATGTAGAGAGAAACAGAAAAAAGTGAAAGTCCCAGAACATGTCAGAGTTACAGATCGGACAAAAATCATGGGATCTGTGGTTTTTTAATTGCTGAGTAAGGATCATGCAAATCCTCTCAGTTGTAAAAGTTTTAGTAAAAAGAAAGAAATTCAGAAAAGTCACCGTGGCAATCCCATCCATCGATTCAATATCTTGCCACATAAATAAAGGTGACCAACTTAATTAAATTTTGATTAAGCCCTTAATAAGTGTTCATGTCCAATCTGAAGTCTCATCCGGTCTAACTAACTTAACCGGCACTTTTCTAAACAGCTATGGGAATACTAATTAACATCATTGACAAAAGGTAACTAAACTTTGGCTGTGTTTGTGCCAACAAGGAAGGAACTTGAGTGTGCTAGTGCCCCTCTTTTTATTCCAACTTTGAACTTTGACTCCAACCAAAGGTGCAAAAGTTATGATGTTGAGGGCATGTTATGTTATGTTAGTAAGTAGAGTGCCATCAAGGCAAAGTCATTGTAGCTTAGCTTACTGTGTCAAAGGCATGAGGAATATATATGTATTTATGAGAGGTCAGCGCTGCAATACAAGGCTTTGCTTTACTTTCTATGCCAAGCAACCTAACTTTGTTGTTTCAGGTTGCGTGCGCCATGCTCTAATTCCTCTCTTCTTTTGGTAATGTTAGGCCAAAGAGAATCTCACTAGTTTCATCGATCACTGCCACTTCTGAAAATGCCCCTCTTCACTTCTCCTTAAAAAGAGGAAAGACACCAAGCGTGTGAATAAAAAAGCAAAGCTAGTCAAGTCAACAATTCCATCCATCTCTACCTTTTGCTTTGCCTTTGAATGTGTTATTCTCTTTTCTCTTGGTGGGGTGTCTCTTGTGCAGTGGTCATATTTGTCTTGGATTTGGTCTTTTATTACGTGGCATAGTTATCATAGATTCTTGTGTCAGGTTCTTCTTCAGATATCAAAAGGTTCAACTTCAACTACTCGTTTTGTTTCAACTTTCAAAACAGAAGCAGAAGCTTGGTTGTAAGAAAGGAGCATAATTGCAAGCAAGATGTGGCAAAGAAACCATAAGTCTTCAGAGGAGAGGAAGTTGGAGCTTAGGCTAGGTCCACCTGGTGAAGAGTCTCCCAATGAAAGCATCAAAAAATGCAACAGGGAAAGAAATGAATCATCACTCACTCTTGGTTACTTCTCAACTCAAAAAATTTCCTCTTCTGACAAGCCAGGTCCAGGTGGGGCTATGTTGCCCTCTGCATGGCCTTCCACATCCTACCACCAACACCAGCCTAAAGCCAAAGCTTCATTTCTTCAGCTCCAATCATGCCCCAAAAACATGATAGTGATGGGAAAGGATGTGCCACAACTCTGTTGTGTGGAGAACAAGACATTCTCACCCTCTTCTGCAAATACAGCTGTGTCCAAAAGGTACTCTTTCTTTTCTATCTTGTATCTATACATTTATTCAGTTTTTTTAAGAGTACAATCATTCCTAAAGTCATCTTTGATGTTGTTGTGGTTCATGCAAAGATGTGTTTCTAAAATAATGTCATACACCACTTTTCAGTGAAGAATTGTTTACGAAGCTCTTCATTTTATTGTTAATTGCGGCATGGTTTTTTTGTATATTTTCTTAACCATAGCATGTCATTTATTATTTGGCTTCATTATCTAATCTTGAAATTTGACATTGGCATGGCCATGGCATGTGATAATTTCACCCTGCCTCTATTTTCTTCCCTCTCTTTCCTCTTCTTCCACTTTCTTCTTTGGTCCCTCATGGTTACGTTGGATACAAACAAATTCTCACCTCATTTTACGAAATGAGGAGAAACATTGATGTATAAAACATACAAAATCTCCATTAGAATGAAATATTTTAAATGATGACAAAAATAAATTTACTAGAATTTAATGTCAAAGTGGACAATATCTTGTTAATCTAAATACGTTCATAAATCTTTAGTGCATAACAAGATATCAAATTCCTATGATAAAAATATATCTCTTCAAAAACAAATAAAAAATAACCCATCTTGTTAAAGGGTATTTTTGTGGTGGTTTTGAATAGAATAATGAGAAGTGCTAAATATGAGAAATTGAATGATAACTCAGTTGTACGCTTGTGATGATGCTGATATGCTTTTGTCTTCATCTTAGTGTAGTGCTTACTGTTTTCACTGTTCATTTTCATGCCTAACTTTTTTGTATATGGACCCACCAAAAACAGAACGGCTTCTGGTCCAGTAGTGGGTTGGCCTCCAATTCGTTCCTTCAGGAAGAACATTGCAAGTGGAAGCACTTCTAAGCTGCCTTCTGGGTCCCACCAACATCAACATGTTGTTAAGGACAAGGTTGCTGGCAAGAACTCTGGTAAAGGCTTGTTTGTGAAGATCAATATGGACGGTGTTCCCATTGGAAGAAAAGTGGACATCAATGCTTATGACAGCTATGAAAAACTTTCCTCTGCTGTTGATGAGCTCTTTAGAGGCCTCCTAGTAGGTAATATTATTCTTGCCGTTTTGGTCCTATAATTGTGTCCGTGTGCTCAATTTAATCACACTTGTTTATTCATATGTTACATTTGTTTGAAATTGGAGATCTGTTTCTTTGGGAATGAAAACTAGTCATTATGTTTTTGTTAGCTACATCTTTTGACCAACTAGTAGTCATGTTATTAAATTTAAGGCAAAATGTGTTCTTGTGTTGGATATGATAATTCAACATTAATCTCTCGAGAGAAGAGCTAATTTGAATAAACTCCTCATATGTAAGTCAAAATTACCTTATGTAATATCAACTTTTTCACAAACTTTCTCATTTAATTTTTTCACAAACACCTATAAAGTTACAAGGGATTTTTTGCAAGTTAAGGAATCAAATACCTATCTCCATCAAAAAGCTCTCAAGCTAGATGCTAATCTAAACTAAGCCTAAATCTCAATCTTGATTACTGCAATTGAATAGTCACTAGCTTATACTAATAGTCAATCTTTTTTCACCTAACAAATTTTTTAAAGTAAAATACTGATCTTTTATACCAATTAGCTTTCATATTTTTTCATTCTTTTGTGACAATGGAACTTGATGCAGAGTTAAATTTATCTCACGTTGGCTCTTCTAGCTGCTATTCTGGTCAAAGAGATTCCTGTGCTGGTGGAAATCAAAACAAGGAAGAGGAAAAGAAAGCCAATACGGGTTTATTGGTTGGAAGTGGGGAATATACTCTTGTTTATGAGGATAATGAAGGAGACAGGATGCTTGTAGGAGATGTACCGTGGCAGTAAGCACCTTATCAATGTGGATCTAATGCATTTTTATCTTATTCAATTCAATATTTTTTTCCATGTCTATAGTTTGGAGCCAAGGTATATACACTTATATATATATATATATATATATATACCGAAATGCATCTTTTTCACGAAGTTCTCATCCAAGCCTCATCTTCAAGATACAATAATTCTGATTTATCAGATGGCCCCTCTGCCAGCAGAAAACATCTTTACAATTATATTCCTTACCATGCAGATTAATGTCTGTTTCTTACATGAAAACTGTAAATAACTCTTTCAATTCTAATTGGAGTCTAGTAACAACGGTATGTAAGTACCTATGGTACTTTATCCAAGTATTGTGTTTTTTTTTCCTAGATAAAACTTACATGAAATTACCATAAGTGTTGGTATTATTTTTCAATTAAAATTAGAGTTTCATCCTATATTCATAATATAGGATTTTATTAAATGTTTATGTATGTTACTTAATTAAAACTTCAATTTTAATTAGAGAATAATAATAATAATAATAATATTATAAGTATTGTATCTAAGTTTTTTCCTTTTGGTTTCCTGTGTTATTGTTTTAATTTTGTGTTTATAATTTAGTGTAAACCACAATCCAAAATCGACCACAAGCAAAGCAAGTATCAACAAGATTAAAAATCGTGCTATAAGTAGAATATTCACAAAAAATTGAACCAACTAGAGTAATCACCAAAAAGAAACTAAATATAACCATAGAGTTTTAAACATAAACAACTACATTAAGGCTAAATCACGAAAAATAAAAGACATAAAAATAAAATGCGATAAACATAAAAGGTAAACTAAGATAAACTCCATCTGCATTAGTCTATGGAGTTTGGTCATCATCATCTCCAGGGGCTGCTCCACCATCATCAGCTCCGTCAGCATCAGCAACTCCACTACTCCCCCAAACTTAGGGGCCTGGTCCCCAGGCCAACCAGTATATACATGAAAGTTCTGGTAACCGGGAGTGGTCTGGAGTGTAATCATGAAAAATATGGTGAGCACAAAAAAATATATACAGTGATGACCAAGCAAATATAGCAAAATGGAGAATATCCTTAGACCAAAATTAAGCATAACATGGATGCACACGGAAATGGACTGTGACAATGCAACATAAAACACACAAACAGTACATAAAGAAACCTGATTGAAAACAAATAAATATTGGATGTCAGGAATGTTGTGCGCCGGGCGCAAAATAGATGCGTCGGGCTTAGTATCAGTAAGAGTCCAAGAGGTTCCAAATCTGATATTGCACCGGACGTGACTTAAGCGCGCCCGTCGTGGTGGTTCCAAAGACCAAAAATTGATTACTAGGCCGGGCGCAAAAGAGTTACACCCGGCGTGTAGCCACTTACATGGTCAATTTGCCTAACTTTTCTTTAAGAGAAGGCCTTATCTCCACCCAGAAACAGAGTTACCTCATTCCTCACACTCCAAATGAGATGTACCCTATATTTACCCACTCAAGCATGATTCTAACAATTAACATATAACACAAAACAGCATATAACACAAAACAACTATGCATAACAAACATTAGTACTAAAATCTAAAACACGAATGAGATGAGAAACACATAAACAAAGTTCAAATCTCTGGGTTGCCTCCCAGGAACCGCTTGTTTACTGTCCCGAGCCTGACTGTGACCAACTTGAACTGCTCTAATTCTCCTTCTCCTCCTGTTGCTATTGTTCCTCCTTGTCATGTGCTCAATCTCAGGATTGCTCAACAACGACTCAGAAGAATGAGTCAATCCAATTCGAATAATACCTTGTATACAAGAGAAAACAGAAGACTAGAGTGCACAGGTTAGCTCCAAGAATTCATTGCTAACATAAAAATATTAATAACAATAAAGGAACAAGTCACAAATAGCTATAAATACTAAATTGCCTTGCTAATCCCCGGCAACGGCGCCAAAAACTTGTTGAGATTTCCGTTGAACTACTTTTGTTATCACTTTAAATCATTTTTGTTCTATCAATGGTCTCAAACACGGCAAGTATACCGGTCATTCAAGTAGTAAAATTATCGTATATATCCACATGGATTAGTAGGTAAAATAAGCATTTATTGACTATTCTTGACTAAAGAATAATTCCAATTTTGTAGTTTGTCATGTAAATGTGAATTGAAGAGTATGACTACTGGAATGTTAAACTATAAAAATATTGGTTTGTGTGTGGAAAAGGGGTAGAAATGGTATTATGGTTTTGTGAAATTGTGGGGTCAGATATTACCGAACGTCACACTAATGAATCATTAATCTCTTGTTATATCCATTGCTTAGTCAAGCCATAAGTTTACTCAAACCTAATCCCTTAGAGCAAGAGTCTAGGTGCGGATAATGAATATCAATGCCTTGAGTATCCAATACCTACACCCGCATTACGGGTTAGGGTCAAGTCACGTTAGATCTTAATTTAGTTCATGACTAGTTGCATACGGGTTTCAATGTTGATCATAGAACTGAGTCAAGTTTGATAATCTGTGGATGCATAGTTTGAGCCTAATTTTGTGTTTATAATTTAGTTATTGCTAGAAATGTGCGATTATAGCATCTATGGTTGCTACTATTATATGATTCCATATTAATGTGTTTTCTTGGCAGCATGTTTGTGTCGACAGTGAAGAGGGTGAGGGTGTTGAAGAGATCTGATCTTCCTGCTTTTACCCGTGAGTTGGAGTCTTAAACTTAATTTAATAGAATTTATGTTTTGTTTTGGTTGTGATGAATGATTGAAGAAACGTTCTTGTTCTCAGATAGTAGTAAGCAAAACTAGCTACACCACTTGACTTGACAATAAGGAGAAGTGAAAGATGAGGTTGTTTGAGGTCTTCTTCCATGACGAAAGTTGAAGAGTGTTTTTATTTGACATTTTGGTTTCGATCAAGCAATGAAATGTTCAGTTTATAAGTAATGTTTGTATGAGGTTGTTGTTTTTAGTGAAGTTTCCAATTGTTTCTCTCTTAAAAAATAGGGTAAGAAAAACTTGATAGATGTGTCCACTCATGATTTTCTCATTAACATTTTGCGTTTTGATTAACCTGTTTTTTTTTGTTGAATTTATTGTTTTTAGTTTATATTATATCCTATTGTTATTAATCACTCATGTGTTGTTTATTCGAAGATTAGGTAACTATCCTAGATTATAGATTATAAATAAAATATGACACTTCTAAATATTTTTATAAATTTATAAAATAAATATTATTTGTTTATTTTTAAATGAACGTTAGATACTTAAAAATAACAAAACTATATATATTTTAAAGTGATGAAAGTTAAAAAAATTTATATAAACTCAATTGTTTATATTTTACAAACCAAAATTAATTATTTCAAATTTTAGAGAAATAAAAATAAATAAATTTAAAATATATTTAACTAAAGTAATTTTAATAAAAGTAATTTTGTTTTTAATATACTAATAAAACATCAATATAAAAATAAATAAATTTAAAATATATTTAACTAAAGTAATTCCAAACTTTCAAATAATATTTTTCACGAGTCTCACTAACTTGTATTAATTTTATCATTTTATTTCTTTAATTTGACAAAGTTGTCTAAACAGTAGAAAATATTTATTAATGATGTAAACCTTTCCCCCTCTTTCTTTTCTTCTTAAAACCTAGGTACCTAAATGCTAAATATTGTCCTTTGGAGCATTTTAAGTTGAAACCTCAAGTACTTGTTTATCACAATATACAGTGCCTTCAACAGAGTGGACCAGGAACTAATTAAGGCTACTGCATTTGGTCCTCTAGTCTAGTCTATTTGTTTAGTTTGAAAAAGAAGCAACAAACACCATACTATTCATCTTTTATTTTCCCCTTCAAGCCTGTATAGAAACAAGCTTAAAGACTTTAAATTTAAACTATCAATATATTATTTACTCAGTAGTAACTAGTTATCTAAATAAAACATATTTTATTTTCAAAATTTAAATATTATTCTTTTGTCTTACTTTTATATTAACTTTAATATTTTTTTTAACTTATTATCTCTTTTATCATTTTTATATTTATTTCAATTTTTAAAAAATACTATTAATAATTGAAAATAATTTTAAATTATTTATCATAAATATAAAATATAATTTATATATTTAAAAATATTTATTTATTACATATTTTAATTATAATATAATACATATAATAAAAATATTTATTTATCATAAATTTAGCTATATAAAATTAATAATTATCGTGGACATTGCTAAAATGCTAGCTTAAGCAAAATTTAAGAAAGATTATTTTTTTCATCTAAATCATATTTGAAACTTTTCCGACATAAGTTGTGAGTACATTGGGCCGTATTCAACTCAATCGAGTCGAGGTGCACATATTCATTTTTATCGGCCCATGATTTATACATTTGTTTAATTATTATTTTTTAATTTTAAAGTATGTCTAAATTTTTGTTTTTAATTTTTTAATTTTGTATCTTCAGCTTTTTCTCCTTTTTCATACATTTTTTTCTCTTTTAGTTTTTACATGTAAATCTAATCTTCCTCTCACTTACATCTATTTTAATAGGTAATTTTAATTTTTTATTTTATTTTCACATTACTCATTTTTTCCTCTCATTTTTTAGTTTTCATATGCACTCAAAACATTAAATTGGTGTGCAATAATATTGTTAGCACATGAGATTTTTTCTTCAATAATGAAGATACTAAGTCAAATGTGTATTTTTTTTCTTCAAACACTTCTTTCCTTCCCTTCCACACTTCTAAAAATTTTAATATTAAATTTAGTATTCTAAAAAATACCTTCAAGAACACTAAAAGTAATATTTCAGGAAAGTATTTTTTAGACACTAAAATTAATGTTCTAATAAGAGTCTAAAAGGAGGAAATGATTGATGAAAAAAAAATACACGTCTAACTTGGTACATTTATTATTTTGCGAATAAAATTGTATTTTAATTGTCCAATACATTCACGGTGTAAAAGTGCAAGATATCAGTGTGTTTAATGATAAAAAAATAAAAATAAAAAACTAATGCTATATAAATATACATTTTTTCATGTACCAAGAAAAAATTAATACACCTTTCTTATTCTTATCATGTTATTTTTTATCATTAATTTAGAACATGTCTGGAAATTTTTTTAAAGAATTTTTTATTAAAAAATATTTTTTGTTTCAATAGAAAATGTTCTAAAAGTCCTTATAAATTGCATTTAATATGATTTTTAGTTTTTTTTTTCTTCTTTTCATCTAATCCACATTTTAATACAGTATCAGATTTTTTTTTAGAATTTATTAAAAAAATGTCACCAATGTGAGAAGTATATAAAAAAATTTAATTCTCACATTAATTATAAATCAAAAGAAAATATAATATATATATAAAAGACAATCTTAATATTAAAGTCAATTTTGTCGATTTGAATTTTTAATTTCACATTATAATATTTTTTTAGTCAGGTTTTAAATTAAAATTTGTCTCAATTTTATCTTAAATCCTAGTTTGAAATGCAAAAAAAGTGAGAGGTTATTTTTACAAATTTAGTCTATAAAATAAAATTCATTTAAACTTAAGTTTATAAACTTTAATTCAAAACAATCACACAGCTTTTGAAAATATTTTTTTTATTATAAGTCAGTAAGAGCTTGTTAGAAGCAATCAATCTATCAATTTATTAAAGTTCTGTTTGCTGTCACAAATATTCTAAGCGTGTATAGCTAGCCATACCATTATATATTTTCCGTCATTAAAACATACCAAAACCATATATCCTCTGTTGTATTTTAAGGAATGCTAAAATAGGGCAAAGTTTTCACGCTTCGCAGACAAGATCCAAGTGTTGTGGGAACAACCAAAAAAGAATTATGATATTTTTTTATACATGGGATATTAAATAGTGAATTTTGAACCTTGAATTGATGAAGTATTAGCATATATTATTATTATTATTATTGTGCACGACAAATCCAGTCTGTGTGACAACGATTTGATTACTTACTAACTAGAAAAAAACAATATGGGAAACTTCAATGGGTTTTGCTTAATTTATTAGGAAGAAGCGTAAATAATGAGTTGTATGTATGATGAATGATGATGGTTCCATTCACATGACATGCTGTGGCTTTGGACATTGATTCACATGCAGCTGACGTAACTTATGGGACCCACTTTATTTTGCCAAAGCTTTGGTTTTGTATTATGTTCCACGGATTAGGTTGATTAGGTATTAATTCAACAAGACACACCTAAGTTTATTCTCCTTGCTCATCATACTTTAAGAACACTTGAAAATGATTCTCTTTCATCATCATTTGCTGCATCTATTGCTCTGTCCCCTTCTCTCTCTCTCTATTTTACATTTTCTTTTATATATAAGCTAATGTTTTTAAGACTATTGGATAAGAAGCGAAAAATATGTTAAAATTTTCACACAAAATATTCAGTAGTGTATGTATAAGAAAAATAAAATCTAATCTATAATTTATAATAACAAAGTCGCAAATCTTATTGTTATCAAATTATTAAATATATAATATTATTTATATATTTAAAAAATAAAGAAATTTTTTATAATTTTTTTTAAATGAAATACAACAAGCTTTTTTTATAGATAAGAGTAGCGACTTTTTATCTTTTATAATAGTCTTCTATTAAAAATTAATAAAATATTATTTATTATGATTTTTAATAGTTATTATTATTATTATTATTTTGAAACAACTTGTTATCAACCAATTAATTAGATTTATAGGATAATTAAATCATATATCTAAGTCACATATTTTTTTTTCCAACAATTTAGTCTAATTCAAGACTTTTACTTGAGAAATTGAGAATAAGTAAAGATATTAGAAGAATTTTAATTTTGACACCTAGGAATCTCCTTAAGTTGATATACATATTATGTATATATATTAAAATAAGATTTTAATGATCTTATAAATGTCAATCCTTTTTTCACATTTTAATTTAGGATTTAGATGAGAGAGGTGTTAATTTAGATTCTTAAGAGATAAACTACAATAATAACTTATAATAATTATTTAAAAGATTTAGTTATTATAAACTCTAATTAGTTGATAGTATAATATTTTGTGGGTTTAATTTTATATGTTTTTAGTTTTTTAAATTTGAGTAATATATTTTTTATCTCTAAATTTTAAAACTTATGTTGTTTAGTTTTTAAAAATAAAAATTATTATTTTGGTCCTTAAATTTAAAACTTATCTTTTTAAATCCTGTAATCTGAAAAAAATATTTTTTTAATTTCTGTACCTTCAAATTTAAAACATGTTTTTTTAATCTGTAATATATATATATATATATATATATATATAATTATTTGAGTCTTCTATTAGTAAATCGCTTCTATTACTATAGTGAAAATAATATATTAAATAAAATTGATATTATAAATCTCTCAACTTGTGAGTGTCACGATTAATTATGTTATTAATTGTTATAAGAGATTAAAATAATTTTTTTTTAAATTAGAGAGGTTAAAAAGATATTTGAAGAATTAAAATAATAATTTTTATATTTCAAAAATTAAAAACACATATTTTAAATATGAGAGAAAAATATTAAAAAATTAAAATAATATTTATTAAAATTAAAAAAAATAAAAACACAAATCTTAAATTTAAGAAAAAAATTACTTAGAAGACTAATATCATATTTAAATTTTTTTGTGTTAGATGCATGGTGAGATGTATGTTTTTTTTTTGTTCGTTCCTGGAGTATCCACCGCCGTCAGCAGTGACCGGTGAGATGTATGTTTAGCATTGATAATACATAAAAAGATAGTATTTTACAGTTGTCTAGGCTCCACGTGCAAGACTTACCCAAGCCCCCAATTTTTGTCCCTCCAACCTCCAATATGTCGGCTTTCTATTGTCTCAACTTTGTGCCAATTTCACTTTAGTTTATACCCAATCAATCACTCACAACTTTTCTCTATAAAAGTATTTTGGATAAATTCAAAATTAAAAAAAAAAATTAAGGAAAAAAATCTGGAAAAGATCTACTTGGTTCCTTGTTTAGTTCATTTGCCAATGTCGTGAGTCTTCGAATAAGGCCCTTTTAA